TTTTTATGAGAGTAAAACATTATAACATGACATAAAACTCAAAAAAGTTGATTTTGCATGACATTGCCCCTGTAAGTCAACAATGTGTTCTTTTACTCATCAAACATTTCCAAAACTCAGGGATGGAGAATTTAAATAAAAACATAAACCAAAAGTCAGTAGTTGACGAAAAATCCAAACTTTTACCTTTTTAAATGTTGTTCACAGTTTTAGTTTTTTATTTACTGAGAAATAAAGATTTTAGAGGCCTCTCAACTCTATCGTTTTCAAAGAACTATCTTTTATTTATTTATTTATTTTAGATCAAAAACTTGCTGAATCCTTTTATTCAAGCACTTTGGATTACCCTGACCTGAATGACCACACCCCACTATATTTTAGAACTTGTTTTTCTAACAACCTTTTATATTTTACACTGCTTTTTTTAAAAAGAACATGCTAAATATTTTTAGACATGTGTGCAGCTATTGTTCTCTTTCACCTGTATTGTATAAAGAGCAAACACGTTACAATATTTCTTTTATCATATTTGGTAAAACATCAAGCAGCAAGATACAGTATATTCGTTTCAAATGTCATTGTAGTTTGTGTGTTTGGCAGGGCAGGACTTTAATTTTTTCCACAATATCGTTTCATCTAACAAAGTATTTCAATCTTACATCCAGCAAAAAATTATTTTGATCTTGTTTTGACCTGCTAACAGGAGCAGAATGTGTTGCTAATCTTGTAAGCCTGAAAATGTTCCTGATTTCAAGACGTCTTAACAAGTGCATTTGTCTTACTGCACTGGCAGATTATTTCACTTAATTTGACTCTGAATCATCTCAGATTTGTCAATGAAGTGAAATAATCTGCCAATRAGACAACTCAAGTATTGAAATATGGACAAGATTAACAATCTTACACAGTCTGCTCTTGCTTAGTATATCAGTCTTAAAACAAGATTAAAAAAACTTTTTGGCTGGATATAAAATTGAAAGACTTGTAGTGCACAGAAAGAATCTTGTCCTATATGAGTTTAATTCTGTTCACACTTCTGACTGTCCCCACAATTTCACCATCTGGCCAGCCAGAGGCCGTGCCGGTTCACACACCATCCCCCAAAAATAAAACCTCTGGCCCAGTCTGTCTTGTTTTTGGCTCCTGGCTGAGATGCCGTCTCAGAGAAATGTCCGAGCTCACCCTCRTATCCACTGTGGAGACTCTGTCGCCCCCTCTGTGACCCTTTGGCCGGCGATGTCACAGCTCTGCACCCAGGCAATGTCACAGTGTGCACCACAGTGGGGGCCGGGGATGACTTGATATAAAGTGATCTAGGCAACAACATCTAAATTAAATGTTTTTTTTTCTTTTTCCTTTAGTCTTTCTGTTTTTCTGTGTGCTTATGTTGTGGAGAAAAGAGATTGCTTTGGTGTGACAGTGCTCTTGCGAGGAAGGCCCTTTTTCACCTCTCCTTTTGTGTGAGGTCACCCCTGTGATGCAGTCTCTATGGAAACAAGCCTCTCCCAATAGGGGTGAATGTGCTCAAAGAAAATTTCATTACTAGGTGTTTGTTAAAAATGCTTCAGTGCCCACATGTCTCGTTCGTTGGAAATCACCCTGTACCCTTTCATTTTCTCACAGGTGAACATGCCCATGGGTGACGACGACGAGGAAGACGAAAAGGTATTTTATCCTCTCTGCCGCAAAATATTTCCTGGCAAAAATCTGTGTGTATTTATAGGTTGAATCTGTGCAGATGTACTTTACCATTTCATGATATTATAAATCACCAGTTGGTGGAGAAATATATTTAAACTCAACTAATATTTATTTTTGAGCAGCAAAGGCTAAATCAAACACACAATTATGACTTTATGCTTATGAAGCGCACAAACCTGGTTCAGCAAGCAGCTGTGAATCCTAAACAAATAATTCAACAAATTGTAAAGATTTACACCTTCTTGTTAGTACCGTATTTTATCAAGGTCCCAGCATCTTGCTGAGACCAGACCTTTTTGCACATTTTAAATAGTCTTTACATTTAAAAATATTAGTGCATTATGTAGAATTTGGGTGTTTTATTTGTGTTTAAACATGAGCCTTTASAAAATTTGGTTATATTAAACTGTTGTAAATCTGATTTTGCACACTTCTTTTTTTATTAGTTGATTTTTTTGTGTGCATCATCTACTTTTAAATTCTTTTTACTAATGAAAAATTGCTTCCAGAACAAACCAACAAAAAACAACCCTGCTCTAATCTGACACTTAGTTTTTTTGCCACGTCTCTAGTGTCTCTTGAAGAAGAAAACAGGAACGCTTTAAGTAGCCTAAAAACTCTACTTCCCACAGTGCACAACATTCAATTATACACACATCACTGTCTTAAGTAAAGTAGAGAAAGTTAACGGGGATGAGTTTTATTGTTTTATGGCTATGAAGTGTGGAACTAATATGAAGCCTCCAAGCGGTGACCCTTGTTCTGCGTGTCTAGGCCCAGGATTCATATCCATAATGCGCTCAATATATTCCTTTGCGATGACCAGGGGCTACTGAAGAGCCAGCTTCTTTTCAAAAAACATAGACACATCCACCAAATCCTGTCTGAAAGGATGGGCTAATTCACAGATTGAACATGCATGATACGTCTCTAAAGCCACGCTTTGTATTTATACTGCAAAAAAGAAACTGGTGTTTAAACAAACAGCAGCAACAATGAAAAYCAGGGTTTTGTGAACGTTCAATAGAAAAGGATTACTTTTATTGCACTGAATTTATTATCATACCTTCACATACCTTAAAACTTCTATACATAATAGAGGATTTTCCCCCTTTTTTTACATTTATGAAACGGCAGTTTCTTTGCTTCATGTTTGCAAACCCAACCTTCGCCTCTTAAAGCTTTTTGAAAGGTTTTCCATGAGCCTTCTAAACCCTTTCACACTCGCAGAAAATGAAATATCTCCTTTCATTTACTAATTAAGCACTCACCCATGTTTGTTTAAAGCTGTCAGCTTTAATTTAAAGTGGCTTATTTGAAAGTCTTGTTATGGTCTTGCTGTCACTTGAATGTGATATCATTGAGTCAGATCAAACAGTGTAGCTTTACACACCCTATCAAAGTATTCTTTAAAAAATATTTGGGGTTAAAGAGTGATCAGTGTTAAATTTGACGACTTCAAAGCCTTGTTATACTCCCCTAGCCTTTCCTCTAGCATGTGAATAAAGGCTTTTCCCTCTGAAAAGGTTATGATTACCACTCAAATATGTTCCTATCCTCCCTCGTACCCCCCCCCCGAGGAAGGAAAAATGTAAACCTAAGACAGAGCAGTAAGAATGTGAAGGCATGATGTTAAAGAGAGACGAAAGGCGAGGCGGTGTTACAGCAGAATAATACAGAACAGATTTTCTGCCTGTGAACAAATCTGTCCTCAGGGAAGGAGACAGCTTACAGATTATGTGTGGGCAAAGTGACTTCCCTTTGGCCTTAGGTATCAATTGAGCAGATACACAATATTTAATCATAACATAAAGAAACAGAGAAGCTAAACAAGTCCATAGATCTCCAACAGAAATGAACAGAGAAGATGAAACAGCCCTTTGTTTGCCCCCCGGCTGGCATTGCTGGTCTGGGGTTGACTTGTTCACAGAGCTCTGCCCATGGGATTCAGAGGGAGAGTTGGGGGAGGGGGGGTGCCAGACTGGGCTTCGGGGTTACTCCATCTCTCACCCAACAGTCCACAGTCACCGCTGGGTCTCCTTGAGCACACCACTCAGACACGCTATCCATGATCTGCTGTGTGCATTGAGAGATTATACAACCCCAGCAAAATAAAGAAATAAAATCCTTCTTCTTCTTTTTCTTTTGTTTATTTTAGCTCGGTGAGATAAATCGTCTGGAACGCAGGTGCTTTTCATTTAGACCAACTTGTATTTTTGTCTGAAAAGTCACRAGATAAATATTCAGTCTGAGAATTCAAATTTGGCACAGTTCATTTCTAATTAAAATTATGCTAAACGAGCTTTTTATTTCTTGCCTTTGATAACAGCACACACGTGTCTGTGGGACTGTGTTTACCTTTCCTCGGGATATCAAATTGGTTCTCCATTACCGAACCTTAAAAGGAGGCTTTTACAATTTATCCGAGATGAGAATGAGATTTTTTTTTTGATCAGGATGAAAATTTCAGGACTCATTTAGACCATCCCAAGTTTACTTATCCTTTTCCATTTAAGATGGGTGTTCTTTAATTTATTTTTGTTTTGCTTTACACTACATATATCTCTTTTTACATACTAAAAAGAAAAAAGGAACATAGAATATCAAGATGTGTTTAATGCAGTAAAGACATCAGCTTTGGTTGCTAAAGAGAACAGAGGGTTTTAGGAATCATAAAGCAGGTTAATAATGAAAAACACAAGAGCTGTGCCTGGTTATGRATATGCGGAGCGGCGACATAGGAAAAAGAAATTATGGCCACGAGATAATTATTTGTCATTTCCATGCAGAGACTGTTGATAGTCATYGGCCTAATAACTCTAAATAAGGGGCTGTAGTGCAGATTTTATCTTTTAACTTTGAATTATATTAAGCTTAAACATGAAATATAAGTAACTACAAGAGACATTCAGATTAGATTTAAGCACACATATAGATTTGCACACTTTATTATTTATGAAATGYCCCATGAGCCTTTGCTTCCCAAGCATACATCAAACTTTTTTGAATGCATGGACTAAGAAAAACTAACAACCAAATTAAAATAAAACATATTGGTCACCACACTGGTTGCTAGCTTAATTATAAAAAATAAAAGGTTTTTACTTAAAAAGTATTTGCATTTGATGTAATATATTATTATTATTGCATTTGGCCCACAGCCCTCTGACAGATTTTCATTTTGTCCCCATTGGTGAAAAAAAGTTTGGGCACCCCTGGTTTAAATATCGGTTTAAAAAGTTCAATACTTTACAGAGTCATTTAACACTTGACATGGAGAAAATGAAACATGTGATGCTGTCCAGTACAATGATGCATAAACACTGATTTTCCTCTTTCGCAGTGATGAGACTATGAGATGTTAATCTGGAAGGGGGGGGGGGGGCATATTTGTGATAGTTTTTCCTTTTTTGGACAGTGCTGGGCCTTCAGTGTCTGTCCAGATCAGAGCCCAGTGGGGGAGGTTCTGCTAGTGTGGGAATTGCTCTCTTCCTGTGCCTTTTTTTTTCGTGGAGGAGAGTGGGCCCAGCAGTGGGGAGTCTGTCTGTGCTGGCAGACAGCGTGTTCCCAGGGGCGGCCTCATGAAGCTCCGATAAAGGCATTCTGTCTGGGCCATGTCAATGCACACAGGCTGCGGCTTCAGCTGACTTGTAACACAAACATATAGACATCCTCAAGCATTCTGTTAGGGTCCATTAGAGCTCCCCCCCACAACTACTCTCATCCCCCTGCTAACCCTCTCACTCTTCCTCTCCCACTCTTCTCTCTGTCATCATTCCTGTCATTATTTCCTCCTTTTGATGTGAGGCTTCTCAGCTCTCTTTAGCTTGTTTTACTCTTGTTATCTCACACTCCTCTGCCCTGGGAGGCTTCACAGTTGGTGTTATTTCCAAGCTTGATGTGATTGCATTGCTTTCATTTCGAGACAAACAGTCCAACCTTCCTAAAAAAACTGACTTGCCACTTTGCCAAATTCTTCATTTTTATCAGTGTTTCGCTAGCAAATGAGTCTTAATTTGTGTTTGTTTTGACAAGAGTCTTGCTTAAAAAATTGTGAACAGGAACATGTCTGAGTGGTGTTCAAAGCAGGCTCGTGTTTTATTATGATTTTTTTTCTCACTCAGTGCGAATATTCAGGTTAGGTTAGAAAGGCGGGCCTGTCGCGTTAGTAAAAACATGTTCCAACTTGCCCTACGCCGGCTGCAGGAACGGAATCTCTCCTCCAACTTGTGAGGGCTCCCACACCTCTCTCCTAGGTCGTCTCGTCCGTCTGATTGCAGATGGCCATTTTGTGTACTTTTCATCTACCAGAGAGTCTTGATTGTGCTGCACTTGTGCAACAGCTCCATTGTGCGTGGATGACAAAAGATGAAATCTCTCAGCCATCCACATAACAGCTTCTGAGCACCGAGTCCGTCTCATCTTCAAAAGCATAGTCTGAAGATGTACAGTGTTTGCTCATTATGGGCCATTCAATAGATAAATTACACATGATAGCACGGCAGAGATAAACTGGTCTTTGTCTACCCTGCCCAACAATTGACATACAGTGCACCTCATCAGTGTCTGTGCTTCTTTTTTTGTCTTTTTTATTTTTTAGGAGTCTGGAAAGAAGGGTTTGATGGATAAAATACATATGGTGCAGGAAGTGGTTCTGGCAGTGCAGAATGTGTTGGAAGAAATCGCAAACATCGGAGAGCGAATCAAGAAGTACTATTTAATCAGCAATTTATCTTTATTTATTTGAAATTTAGTTTTAATTTTACTCTTTTGTTCTTTTTTTGTATTTTTTGCAGCATATTCAACTGGTCTGTGCCATTCATGTCCTGCTTGGCCTGCCTGGTACTGTTTGTAGCAGCAACAATGTTATATTTCATCCCGCTTCGATACATTGTGCTGGCATGGGGTAAGTTCGCGAATGATGTGCCAAAGCTTAAATAGAAAACACATTTTTTTGCATGAAYGAAACAACATTGGATATTCCTGAATGCTACCAACCACCCACTTTCTATTTCTTGCTTTTTTTTCTTTTATGTTGTAGCCAGCACATAAGATAAAAATATTGAAATCATCTGCTATAGTATTTGCAAAACCCAGCCAGCACAGTAAATTCAACTGTTGTCAGGAAAACTGTGATTTAAAGGATTACAATAAAAAAAAAACAACTCGGCAGTATCGACACCTCTGCAAATGCACAGAGATCACACAGTTGCAGAGGTTCGCTCTGCCCAGTGTGGGCTGATGCAGCAGAGCCCAGCAGAGGCATGACCAAGGGTTTGTGTGAAAACAAAGCCGAGGTAGAGCAGCAAGCTGTATATAATACATGATGTCCTTGGGCAGTCTGTAGGCTCCTGGTCTAGCCTCTCATTATCCGCTGTAGTCATACAGAGCAGTCCGTCGTCTCAGTGGTCAGGGAGAAACGCTGCCCTTACCAGAGCTCTCCTCCTCCAGCTGTAAGCCCACAACCACACAACTTCCACACTGCCTTCAACGCAATCAATACCAAAAAAAGAAAAAAAAAATCCCCTTCCATATCAAACAAAAACTGCTCAGTCTGAGACACTCCTCTGCCTCCCCAGTTAACCCCCATCTCTGTGGTTGCAAGGCAAGCCTTTCAAGTTGCTTGCACATATTTAAGTCCTTAGGTTCTTTGTCTGCATGCTAAGGTCCACGCAGTACTGAACTGTGAATATAATAGTCCCATTACAGGACCCCCGAGATATTCTTCTCTCTGTGGTACGTAGCCATGTGCAAAGTAAATATAGATGCACAAGACTTCATTAGATTCAGAGAACAGTGAGGAAAAAGTTGTCGGAATGCACAAGTTTTATTTTAATGAAAGTAACAAACTTTTTTATCTCTACTTGTTGTAATTCTGCTTATTTGGCCTAAATCTATCTTGGCTTAAATAGGCGATGAAACTAAAACACATAGACTTTCACAACTTTTTTATTGTTTTAACTCTTGCACATAAAAATATAAAATTGTCAAGGAGAGCATGATAGTTTTATTTATTTATCAGTTTGGTTGTGCTTGTTTTTTTTGTTTTTTTTACAGGCATTAACAAATTTACCAAGAAACTGCGCAACCCGTATGCTATTGACAGTAATGAACTACTGGATTTCCTCCAGAGGGTGCCGTCTGATATTCAAAAGGTAAGAGTCGAATTTTGCATTCAGATAGGGATGGAATTCCCCGAAGATGTCTGCATTATTTGCTGTACCAGAATTCCCAAGTGTTGCAGAAACATATCCTCTGGCTTTGTTTGATTATTAATGGACTCGCGCCTTTAAAGCAGCCCTGGCCCAATTATTCCTCAGTGGAACTCCATCCACAGTGGCTGCGGTGCCTGAACGAGGAGATGCTCAGATCTGTCCCCCCGCTATATTTCTGCAGCCTTGTCCGTTATTAGCAATTATTGTGTGTTTGATTGAAGCGGGATGACACCGGAGCCGGTGATTGGTCGAGTGCCGTCAGAGGGCTCCTGACGTCTCTGGCTGTTGTGTCAGCACAGCAGCTCTGATGTGGCCTCAGTCACTTTCAGGGTGGTAGAGTCAATTAATATATTCGTGAGCCCCGGTCGTCTTGCTGGGTGCCATATGTGATTACATATTAGCCACGGCTGATATGTCATTTGCATTTACATCTCAGAGCTGAGAAGCGCTGTCAGGTTGTTATAAGTGGTGCCGGGTGCTCGCAGTCCTCTGCCTGAGAATTTTGCGCAGCCAGGAAATGAAGTGCCACACAATGCCTTCATCTCACCAGGCAGAATTGAGCAAGGAATCCTGACAGTCTGGATCTGGCACGGCACTCTCACCCCGGCCTGTTTCTCAGCTGCACCCTTGATGTCCTCCTGCAGCAAGCCGTTGCTGACTTCTCTGTGATGTCGGAGGGAGTCTGTGTTGTTTGAGATTTGGCTGACTGAGTTGGCAAAACAAGGTGGTGGATACATTTTGATTCAGAATCCTTTGTATGTCTTTTTTTTTCTTTTCCCCGTTGGGATGCAATGTTTGAGCTTTGAAAAATGACTCGCTTTCAAATCCCATGGAAACAATACTTTTTAGCCTGGTTTAAAAGAGGAGCTGCATCTTGAAAATAGCGCCAATCACAAAAAAACAAAACACCCTTAAGATTCATCATAGGCACGTTTCATTATGTGCTGTGAAAAATAATCTTAACATCATATACACAGGAGATCCAAAACAATAGACCACATATTTTGTTTTTTGTTGACTTAGAACTTCAATCCTCAGATAGGTGTGGACACAAAATGGCAAAAAAAGTGAAAGAATTGACTCCTGTCTTTCTTGCAAATGTGACTTGGCAATTAGTGTCTTTGCACATCTACAAAGTGTGCCTCAAACGGGGACTTCTGACGACACCGTGTCTGTCTTGAAATAAGAAGCATCTGTCAGTTCTGAGGACAGCTTCATGTGTTGATGCAGGAGGCAGCCACTTTGTTCCCACATTCCATCTCCCATTCTAATAATGGAGACCGGCTAATTAGCATAGCAGAGTTYTTACCTTTATTCAACAGATTCACTGTATTGTTTGAGCTCGGCAAGCAAACTTCAAACGCTGGTTTTCAAATTCCAACTCTTATTGTCAGCTTGCCTTGTGATTTTTTTTCTCTTTTTCCCCTTTAGATTATGATGGCGCTTTTTGGTAATAATTTTGGAAAAAGAGAAAAACAGTTTAATATTATTCTCTTGGTGTCAAAAGTACATTCACACATTCATTCTATATATATATATATATATAAACAAACTGAGCAAAACTTGAGTTGAAATTATGGCTGCACAATGTTATAAAAACCTGAAATTGCAGATACGATTGCTGAATATGATGATAATGATGATATCATGATAAAACACATTTTCTTCGCTCCTGTTTGTGTCTTCTGTCCTGATTATGTTCACAACTCMTTTCCTGTGTTTTAACAATCTAAGAAGACACTTGTAATATTCATAAAGGTATATGACAAATATTTTTGATGTACTGTACAGCCCTAATATGTAGGTAGCAAAGAAAAATAGTTTTATTTCCTCAGCACATTTCAGATCTTGTTTAAGCATCGAGCAGTTTAAGTCACTTCTTTTAGAGGTTGTCTTGGAGATGCTAACTTTTATTTAAGAGACGTAACTTTCAGTGAGTGTTTTGCATGTCCCTCATTGGCCTGGCAGGACGTCTCAACAGTTGATGTCTGTTTCTAATATTGTGAGTCTAGTGCAGAATGTGGGGAAAGGGGGGGGCTACACTGGTACAGAACCCTTGACTTCTCAAATCCTTCCTCCCTGTGATTAATCCCCTCTGCTCCTGTGTTTAAAAAATGATTCATTACAGGCGAGCCCGCCTCGCTTTCCTCTCTGCACCAGCTCTCCTCAGGGGAGCCATTACTGCGCGCTCCACTGAGCTCGGATTACCTGCCTCTGACCAAACTCCTGTTTGTTTTTACAGGTGCAGTACAGTGCGCTGAGAGCGTCCACTGGCCCGATCCAGCCGCGGAAAAGGAAGTGAGCTCTGCAGACAACGAAGGATGAAAGGCTGGTCTTTTTTTTTAATGTGGTACGTTGCAGTCCACCTGACAACGATGCTCCAGCGCCAGTCGAACCCGTGACCCTGCATACCCCACCACACCATCCTAACTCTGCCCCCTGCTGCTGAGGGGGCAGCCAGCCGCTCTCTGCCTTGTGTGTTTGCCACCCCCCCTGACAGGGGCTGTGAACTGCAGCAGCTAGGAGGGCAGCACATGGCGCTGTCAATCACCAGCTTGGAGAAAAAGAAAAGAGAGCATTGCAAAACTCAGCCCTCGTCTTTGGATGTAATTTAGAAAAAGAATGAAAGGCACCGGGTTTGGCTTACCTTAGACCTCCACTGTTTACTTTTATTCTTTTTACTTTGGTGTAACTGAAAAAATTGCCTCAAGGTAAAGACAATACGAGCTTAACTGGAAACTGCAATGATTCAAAATTTTTGTCACTGTTATTCTAAAAAGTACTTCATATWTTCAAGAAGAAAAAAAAGGATTTTATTACACATTTACGAACAGAGTACTGATATTTACTGTATTTTATGATACCATTTTTATAACTTATTGCTGCCAGTTTGCTCAATTCTGTCTCATTTAACAMATATATATATATTTATTTTCTAAATTTTGTATCAATTCCAGCTGCCTGTTCTTATTTTTATCTACTTTAGATCAAAACTATGCAAAAAATCACATTTATCAAATGGAGAGTTTGCAAGAATCCACAATAAAGAATCTTGATCAAATTAAGTTCTTGTTTTGCTCTCTTTTTTTTCACCCCCCCAATAACTGCACCCCACTGAGGATGGATTACACCACTTCTTTACTTGAATACACAGTAAACACATCTGATTACACAACACAGCCATTGAAACTGAGCTCACACACCGGCCACCGCTGTGCCTTGGTTACCAAGCTCACATCAAAGCTGTGTGGCTCCAGTGTGCTTCCTAATGCATTCATTGTTGCCTTCTCACAATAACAGGGTCCAGATGAGAGAGAAAGAGCTCATCTCACAGAGAGAGTACTCTCTCCATCCCCGGCACTTAGTGCTTTAGATTTCCACTAAAATCACCTGGCTTGTCTAATGGTTACACACACACACACACACACACACACACACACACACATATATATATATATATATACTTCATTTTTCCATCTGTCTTCCCGCAATGGTTTTTCCCACTGTGGAGGATGTAGCCTGYGAGTCTGTTTGTGTGCTCTTGTGAGTTTTTTCTCCGTATAGAAAATAATGACAATTGCTCCCCTTTTAATTGTTGAAGAACAATACGTTACGTAAAGATCAGATATGTGCTTTACAGCATGTGCAAACTGCCAATATATGAGCCAACGCAAGACAACCAAATCCTCATTTTATTATTTGGTTTCATCACTTTAAGTACACACTCTGAAGGCTGAAGCTGAATGAAGGAATGGGCCCCAGCGTTGGGAGCTTGTTCAAACCGACTGGGGGACTGAGCATCGTGGCCGGGTGACCCCCTCCTCAGGAGCGGCGCTCTGGTGAAAGAACATCCATCTGTGCTTTGTGAAGAGTTTGATTGGCTCAGGGGGACCTGGTGGAGCCCCGGGCTATCTCTTTTGACAGGCTGATAGAGACATCACTGGGATCTCCCAGGAGCTGCCACCAGGGGTCCGTTTCAAAGTGAGAGGGTGTGGAGGTGACCCTGAGCTTCTGAGGAGCTAAATCCCACACACTGGCGGAAACCCTCCAACATTCTTGGCTCCTTTGGGGCTGGAGAGCGAGGGGGGCGGGGTTGTTGGTTTTGGCTGTGCTGAAAGGGAGAAGGGTGGGTCCAAGCAGTTCACTAGCAGGGCGCAATCAAGTGTCCCTGAGAGGTAAAACCAAATAAGTAAAAATCCCAGGATACTTTGAGTTAACATAAAACCAGCTGAGTTTACTACAAATTACATATTTAATGAAATCCATAGAAATAATATTACATAAGCTACCTCGTGGCAGTATTTGGATTTAAATAGTATTCCGTTGTGAGCGTAGATGTATATAATCAAAACCAATGCTGTGAATGACATTACGAGAGTTCCTGTGGGACTCCATTTACCTCCMTCCAAGCTGTCAAACTGTTGAAACGGTGACACTGAGGTTGTGATCTTGGATGTTCTCTGTATCATTCATATTCAGTGGAATACTCTGACAGGGCTTCAACAATTGTTGATTTGACTTTTCATGCACCAGCGCGCTCTTATTTTTTTCCCACACATACCCGCAGAGACACACAAACACTTATAAGCCCATCTTTGGAGTCGTGTAATCATATTTAAGGAATTATTTATCAGTGTATTTCCTCCTGGGACACTCAGGAATCTCACCAGAGGAAGTCACTGTGCAATATGGTCCCCAAATGTGGTGGGAAAAAAAAATCCCTGGATGTTTTACAAGCTTGCTAATGAACATTTCATCCACACAGCAGTTAACATTGTTTGATCATAATTTTTTTTCTTTCTCCAGCAGCAGCAGCAGTAGTTGTTGTTGTGCATGGTGTGGCAGTGATGTCTTCATCAGGCTGTCAAAAAGGAAGTGCCTGCAGCTGTGGCGGATCCCCCCGGAGCCTGTCACACTCCTTGTTTCCATGGCAGTCCTTCAGGCAGCACCACAGGCAGGCTGTGTGCAAGGACCCATACAACCTGTTTTTTCAGCAGCCGCTCCTGTGATGTTCAGCCCCGGAGCGGGCGTCAAACCACCAAGTGGAGAGAGAGAGAGAGAGAGAGAGAGAGGGAACACACTACGCTCTTTCTGTCGCACTTGGCTTTTGCAAGGAGATGCATAGCAAAAAGGAGAAAAAAAATCCTCATTTAAATAAGCTACTGTTCTCAGCACCTCCTTAGTAATTGCTACATGTGCATTGCTGTTAAGGTTCTCTGACCTCCTCTCTGAGAGACACAAACGCACACAGTAGGACAAAGCTCCTCTCATAGTTGACTTACAWGTGTTAAAGCTCTTATGCGAGCAGTGTTTCTCTCCTTGTACCACCTGAGAAGGGGGTCATGGAGATCTGAACTCCCAACTGGTTTAAATTTATGGTTCAAAGGTTGCGGTCTGACCCCGACAGAACACTACCACCAATAAAGAGCAGGGTTGGCATGAGGCAGTGTCTCACTGGGCTGCGACTTTTGGGGACTGATCGGAGAAGATACACAAATTTTCATTTGGAATAAGATGGGATGACACATTTGCACAACTTTGCAATCCACTTTTCTCCTTTTGTTTCTCTTTTTAGCAATGCGAAGGAAGCAAACACTGTTACTGTTGTTTACGTCATTTTGCAGGTAAAATAATACTGGAAGATGTAGTTTATGGTCAATGCCGACTTTAAAGCAGAATCAGCTTATTTTAAGACAATACATCGTTGAAGCTCTCATGGGCCACATAAAATGCAGTGGTGGGTCACAGTGGGTCCGCGGACCTTGAGTTTGACACGTAAACTAATCTAATATGGAGGCAGGGAGATGCTTTCTATTTACTATTTTAGTTATTGACTATGCCTTTTAAATCACTTTTAATGCATTTTCATTTATGTAGCATCAAAAATAAAAAGATTAACACCTTACTGTAAGTATATTTTAATTTAAGGGACTCTAGCGGTCTAATGCCATTTCCCATCTATGTCTAGTCATAAGTCTGCTCCTGGTTGCAGCCCAGAGGGGATACACATTAGCGTCAAGAAAAACCTAAACCAGGTTAATGCTGTTTGCCCATAGTTAGCTTACCTGAGCATATCTAGGAATCTTCAGTCTCATAATAATAGCAGATATAAATAATCATAACCAGGCCTRATGACGTCTGTAACAACTGAAAGAAAAAATGGCCACTAATAGCTGCTGTTTTCAGTAGCTCCAGTTTGCTAATAATTCATTTCACTGCCCACAGTACACAGCGGTGTTAAGATGTGGCAAAAGCCATAATTCTTTATACTGTTAAGAACACAAGATGGCCTTTAAGAGCCGAAATGAAATCATTGGCCTTTAAAAGCAACTCTCYAAGGGCTAAACTGCATTAATAAATTCAACTGAATCCGCTTTAATATTATTCAGAGTGCATTAAAATGAAGACAACAGCTGGGATCGTGTCCAGTCTCGTGAGGATTGCTCGGGCCAGAGATGCAAAGCGTGTCTGCGCGCAACCTTCCACACCGGACAGAAGGTGACACGGGGTCGTTGTGTTACAGGTGCGGGCCTGACAGATTCTGTTCCCAGATCAGAGGTTGCTCGGCMTCGACACCGGCCGCAGCGCCAGTACTCACTGCGTCAAAAATAATGTGACACCCCCTCCAATCAGGGCACTTACCGCCAGAATCTTGACAGTGCTGCTTATGAGAACAACGAGATGCAGTCGAGCTATTTAAAGCCTTGTGTTTGTCGCAATAGTTTTAGACTCACTTTGTTATGTTGAAAAATGGAATTGGAAGAAGGGGGGGGCAGCTGTTTTGAAAAAAAAATGAGAGGAAATAAAATCTTAAGCTTTCTAACATTTGGTGTTAAATCAGTGCTCTATAGTTAGCACAAGCACACGCGTCAGGAAACAATACAAAGAATAACCGACCTGCATATTTCATTCTAATTAACAGTGATATAATGCAACGTGACTCTCAGCCTCCTGAGGAAAGAGCACCATATTTTTGTTTGATGAATCTCCTGAAGCCACCGCTATAGTCCTGCCTCTAACCCCCGGGGAATCAGGTATCATTAAAGATATGAACAGATCTGCTTTTTGTCTCGGTGAAAGGAAGGGAAAACATATTTCCTTGCTGACGGCGCATGAGCGAATGTGGAAGTGTTCAATATGAAAACGGCTTTCATCAAGGACACAATTAGGACACCTCTGTTTGACACGYGCTATAGGTTCTGGATGAATATGGCTATATGGCTGAATAACATCTGCAAACCCTGCAGGATGAAGGATGCGAGAGCGAGGGCCTGGTCATTTGATTCAACGTGAGTTAAAAAAAAAAATGCAACACAATTAGCCCGGGTTGAAAATTTACAGCCTTAGGCAAATGATATGTTTATCCAAATCATTATATGCATAAATGCAGCAGTGACAAGTCTACATTCATCCCACACAGTTGTAGCAGCATTACTAAATATTATTAATATGTTTCCGTTTCTTTTGTGCCTCTTTCATAAGATTTTCCAACCAGATTTGATTAGCGACTGCTGCTGAATGTTTGTCATTTTCCGCACCAAAGGGTCATAGTTTCGTCTGCAAGRGCTGAGGTGCAAAGAGGGTGAAGTGAGGAGACTAATCACAAATACGTCACCCCCCCCTGCATCCCTGAGCACTTTCTCCTCCAAGCTCTGTCACACTGTGACACCGCGGAGCCGTGTACAACACAAGCACAGTTAGGCCTATTAACCGCAGTGACTAATTATCAGCTCCTGCAAGGTCTTCAAGCTCAGAGGCAACGCATAGCTCTTGTTTCTGATTAAAAGCATAAATGCATTCAGGAAAAAAAAATGAGAGAAAGAGAGCAAGAGAGAGAGAGAGGATCAATTACAGCGAGGCAGAAAAGATAACAGCCCTGTACCAGAGTAATTAGGCCTGGTGTTTCATCAGAACCGCTTATTCTGTGATGAAGGTTTAAAGAGTCCAGTGGCAGAAAACAGCCACAACTGTGTTTGTTTTATTTATCCGATGATGCACTGTCACCCACCGGGGCCTAATTAGCCTGCGACTGATGCTTGTGGAAAGCTTCTCTCAGCTCCTCTTT